TTTCCACTACCACCCGTTTTATCATAAGGCTGTGCCATTTTCCTCAAAAACTGCATTTAAAATACAACTTTAATGGAGTGGAGTACACACACCATAACTTCAAAGGAGGACGTGTGTGTCTTTTTGGGCGAGACAAACAATTGCATTAATTGTCTCACTGATATCAACCCAAGTCCAATGCAAGTTTACGTTCTGTGTAACAAATAAATCAACTGCAACTACAAGATGTGTGTGTGTGTGTGTACCTCTCTTGCTATATGGACAGCCATATCTGTACTCAAGTTGAGGTGGGCATCACGCAGATGAGACAGAATCCACCCAGGCAATTTTGACCGTTTGTCATGTCGGGTATATCTACATTTTTTTACATATATTTATGAAATCAAAAAATATGGAAGAAATAAATATAAATAATTAACTATAAAAAAAAAAAAAAAAACAAGGGAGGGAACCACCTCTTGTCAGCAAATATCATCATTCCATAATCTGCCTTTGAACGGATAACTCGTCCCACACATTGAGCAGCTTGTCTCTGTTTAGATTTAGACAATATATATTATTATTTTTTTTCCTTACAAACAATTCATGATTCAAAATAATAATAATAATAATAAAGGTATAAAAGTAAAAGTACCAAGGCATCGAAAGTCAAAAAGTCCCCTTCTTTTATCTGAAAAGTCTCTCGCAGGTACTCCAACCGAGCAAGTAATATCCTGCAACCGCATATATATATATATATATATATATATATATATATATATATATATATATATATATATATATATATATATATATATATATATATATATATATATATATATATATATATATATCAATCAGAATCCCCCACCTTTTATTTACAAACACACTTTCATTTATTATAGCATGTCCTACTTTCATTTGTTTCTATTATTAGAGCATATTTCTTTTCTAGATTGAATAAACCGTTTAAATGATCATTTTACCTTTGATAAAATGCAACAAACAAATTTTCACAAAATTCATTGACTTGAATGTTGGGAAAGGGTTGGCGTTGTGTCTTAATAGGTTTCTTGGCTTATTAAGTCAAAATGATACATGATACAGCCATGTATATGTATATGTATTGTGTATAGGGTATAACTATAGCATAGCCCCTCAGTTAATCTTGATTACTCCCTCACCTGCTTAATGTGTACTGGAAAGGAATGCCAAACATGATTACAAGTCTCCCATAATGTCGGTCAAAGTCTATACCTTCTGCAACTTTTCCCCTGCAACACAACATTGTCGATACAAATAATCATACATGGATTCAAACTGCAATGCTATAAGTATTAACTAGGTAGATTGAACAAACTTAGGTATGATGTTTGATTCCTCCTTAATAGTAGTACTAGTTAACAATAATGTAATGTAAGTAGAATGCTGTTGTTGATAAGCCCCAACTTTACTGGTTTATATAGCATAGGGGTATTTCTGTCTTTTATCTATTTATTTTCCTATTAGTGAGTCTACACTAGGTGGAAAACAACGTTAGTGGGGATATCACCTCGCTAAGCTGTTATGTTATTCCCTTTTGTCCTTTTCTTTAGTAGTAGTTAGAAGGTAGAATGAGGGAGCTAAGAAATTATATAGTTAAGAACTTTGTTCTTCATGGAGAGTCCATTCCTCTCAAATGAATGGGAGGGAAAACCCTCCCTGATCTGATCTATCTTATCAGTTCATAGTTTGATTATCAATGGGAATTCTATCAGTTACCTGGCAACAGAGAAAAACACAGCACCTCTCCCGCAATCACAGGCTTTACGATAATTGTCCAGTGCTAAAGTAGTTTCAACCACATCTTGTGTCTCAATGAACACCAGTTTACGTTGCATTATTTCCTGGACCATAACAAAATTAATTTCAAATAATACCAATAACTGAAAGAGAAGAGGGTTTTGTTTTGTACCTTTAAGATCCCTGTTTCATTCCAACTGTTGACAATGGCATCCATATACGAGTAACTCACAAAGAAACAAACAATTCCATCAGGAACCACTGACACCATCTCCAATAAAAGCCTTCCGTAATTTCTTTCCACTCCAGGGTCACTTCTCAAATCAAATTTTGTGCTAACTGGAAGCTGATCGCTGTCGTTCACAAGTCAACAAAAGTAATAAACAACTGAGATCTCAATCAAAATAAATACACACATTTACCTTCCACGTGTGAGAACCATGGGGCATATGCAATCCCTTGTCAAAGACATGGTAAAACTCCTACTAACCACTGGATTGAAATTAAGAAGCCGAGGATACAGATCAATGGGGCTTAGTGTTCCAGATGTGATCACAACCGATTGAAATCTCTCAAACACCGGCTTTATTGCAAGAGAAGCATCATGGCAGCTAAGCTGAAAATAATAAAAAACTATGATGCAACAGATTTTTGATTTCCTGATGTTGGAAACTTGTATAAATACCTGCAAAACCGGATCAGGAATATGGGGCATTCTCTCATCATAAGGTTCAATTATGATTGAAAACCCTCTGGTGTATGTCCCCACAAGTGTTGCAAAGTCGCAAATTGTTTGAATGTGCAGAAACTCATCCGTATCAGTTATTTCCAAAGTCAGCATAAGCGAATGCAGACGATCGTAGCAGAATTTCAGCATTTTTTGGTCAATCCCAACATGTGAATTCACAGCATTAACAAACGTAAGTGGGCCCTCCTTTTCAACATTGTCAGTATCCAAACGCCCTTTCAAATACTGCACCAATCTGCGCAAAACAGACAAGAAATGCTCTGCTCTCCTTATATTTCCAGGCACTGCCTCCTTCAAGATATCATCAGGCAACGCAGGATTTGCAAGCCACGTGTCACCAACTGTAAAGCTCAAGATTTTTTTATGTAAAAAAAAATGGAAAAGTGTTATGTAAAAAAGTTGGTGTGTACATACGGGGTAAGTTCCCTCTTTGTGCTAAACCATCAACAAGTCGGTTGTATTCAGCACGCAACCTACCAGCATCAGTGGCCTTAAACCTTCCTACCAAGTTGAACAAAGTTAAAATAAAGATTATCAAACAAAACAATTATCAATGAGAACTGCTGCCTAAATGATTTGAAAGTAATAAAAGGATTACCTTTCGATCTCTTGAGACATTTTATTAAGGTTTCTAGTCGCCCCTTCAAGTGTTTGTTTGCGTACACTCACACTTAGGGCTTCAATGCAGACATTATCAATATTGTGAGCCTCATCAAACACGACTACAGACTCTCTTTGCATCTCCTTTGATATGAAGCCAGCTACTTTCGGATCAAGCAAGTATTGGTAGCTATAAACCACCACATTTGCAAATTGGATCATGTGGCGGGCTAGAAAGTATGGGCACCACCCTTTCTCCTTCCCAAACATCCTCAGATCCTGCCACCAGTTTAAATCATCATCATAACATCCTCAAATCACACCAAGGTTAAGATATCGTCATTGCAGTGCATTCATGTGTTAAAGGTAATTCAATGTTTAATCTTAGCAAATTACAAGCTTAGTTATTCCAATTTCAGTACATAAGTGACACACAGGACTATGAAAATGCCTGCATCTCTTATGAAAAAAAAACTACAAACCTGTAAAGTATACACTCCAGGAGGCAAAACAGCATCAGAACCAGCCTTCTCGTAGGTCTCAAAGAACGAACAAGTTGGAATATTAGGGTTTTCAATAGCAAGCGCCCTAACCCAACTAGCGGTAAGTTTCCGACATCCCGCATCAACGGAATCCCGATTCTCCGCAGAAACCACATTGGGATTTATACACAAATTCTTTCTCGACGAAAGCCCAAGGGCAAGCATCCGAGCAGAAGGACCGATATTCTCGAGCTGGTACTTGTGAAGGAGCTTGAGCTCGGCTAGGGTTTTTTCCATTTCGTGAACCGTGCGAGTACAGTAGAGTAGTTTAACGGGATTAGATGGTTTAGAAAGAGTGTAGCTGGTGATTAATGAGAGAAGGGCGATAGTTTTTCCGGTACCGGTGGGCATTTCAAGGAGGCAATGGCCTTTGGCGTCTAGGGCTCGTTTGAGCTCGATCATGTAGGAGTACTGTTCGGGGTATATGTGATCGTAGGGGAAGTACACTGTTACATCTTCGATTTGGAACTTCATCTTCCCCCTATATTCACACTAGTGTTCTTTGATATGATAATGATTCTATTGTGACTGTTTGAGAGTGCGATCGGCGAGAGAAAACGAAGATTGCCGGAAATGGCGACGGACTGAGAATGTCTGACGGCGCCAGGGGATAATGAAAGAGTAGCCGCAAGCGTAAATTTTTATAGTTTGAGCGCATGGTGTTTTTTTTGGGAAAAAAGGTTGCGAGTTTTTACATCTTTTGTGAAAATATTGTGGAAAAATAATATTATTTTTAGAGGAAAAATCAAGAAATTGACTAATATAAATTACTTACAGAATTTTTTTGAAATTAGACACGACATTGGATGTAAATTAATTGGTTGAAAATATGTTTTCTAATTCTTGTACACTTAATATTTATTATTAGACTTTGTCTATTAGTTGTTTGATAAACATTAATAAGAGGTTGAGCAAGTCATTCAAATATCCAAAATAGACAAAATTTCGTATTTTGAATTGATAAAATATTGTATTTTGTCACATTAATATTGATTCAGTCTACTTCATATAAAATACAATGTAAATAAATGTATGTAATGTATCGCGTAGCAAACAAACAAAACCTTAGATTTTGTTTCGGAAGGGTGTGGTAACTAATAACTATTTTCTTACAAATATGATAGTCAAATCGTACAATGAAAACTTATTTACATTTTTTTTAACTAATTAACCCATATACTCTCATCTTCTACCAAGAGTATCATTTTATATTAAGCATTCACAATTTCACATAATTGTCTATCAAATGGTAAATAAAATTATCATTTACATATTCACTACCAATATGTGCAATATACTCTATTTAGTACATAATACTAATATCAGTAAGTAAATTGATATTATGGGTACAGGGAAATATAATTACATTTCTATTATAGTAAAGAACTAATTCACATATTGCTATTATGGTAAAAAGTAAAGTATATCGTTTGTATAGGTAAAAAGATTAAAGTGCATTGTGATTTCCTGCTATTTGCCCTTTTTAAAAGACATATCCATGTTTAATAAACAAACAACATAATTCTGATCCACAAACACAACTATAACTTTCCTAGTATTTGTTGGATTAATACAACTTACAAAATTAATTGACTAACAATCAAACGTCACATCCATCAAAGAGGGAATATAAGGAAAATAGATAAATGAATATTGCAAACCAATTACGCCATCAAACTGTACGCATATCCATGCACTGTTTTTACCATGAAATAAGTCTACACTCTGAAAGATATATTGGATTATAAGCAAAGATGCCAAACATATCATGCTTCAATTTACTGATTTAAACATATGATGAATACTAAACCTGTTGTTCTTCAGCTTCAGAACAACCCCAACAACAATGGTTTTGAAGTTGAATGAATTGATTACTTCTGTCAGTTCCATGTCATGTTTCTTAAAGTAGGTTTGGTTTTGTCAGAATGTGGGCAACATCAACCTCTGTCATGGCATATTGTTCATTCTTCTGGTGATGTCTTGCAAACCAAACCCTTGATAACATGCCGACATTGAAACCTACAAAAAAAAATAATAACAATTTTTTTTTTTTCATTTGGGAACAAGTAATGAGAAGATACTTGTAATTAGTAAAGATGTTTAAAGTATTTCTATAAAGCATATATTAAATGAAGACAATTATAATCAACTAATAAATTTCTCAATTTGAAAGGAGTGTTACCAGATGTAATCATTTGAAGAAGAAGAAGGCATCATATTATTGGAGTCTGCAGGTTGAGGGTCAGAGTTTAGAGCAGGAATTTGGTGATCTTGGTTTCTACACCTGATTCTTAATCTCATAGGCACTATCTGCAAATGAAGAGAAGAACAATATTTTATACTTGTAGCCATGTAGGTTTAGTCAGCAAAGACTTCACGGACAGACAGACAGAGGAATATAAAATATGATCTGCATGCTTCTTTATGAAATATTACCTTTTTATTGTATCTAAAGTCACGTTTGGGTAGAAAATGCAGAGGCATATTGAAAGAAGAATGAGCTTTGACCAACAAGAACAACTTGGAAGGGCCTGAAATGGCAAAGCTTCAACTCTCACCATTTCCAAGAAACTCAAGTTTTTTTTTTTAATGACAAAAGCTGATCCAAAAAAATACCTCCATAAGAAGCAGATCCAGCACCTTTGGATACAAGTGTCCTGATGGCCTGTTGCAAATGTAAAATATTACTATATTACCCCCCCTAGAATGCTGGGAATATATTATTGAGTAAATTACACGAATGGTCCCTATGGTTTAGGGTAATTTGCGCGTTTGGTCCCTAACTTATTTTTCTAACTCGGAAGATCCTTACTGTTTGTTTTTGTTACACGCTTGGTCCCTGTCTTACCCAAAAAGACTATTTTACCCTTGATTTTTAACTTATTTAACTAAATACACCCCCAAACCCATCCCCTTCACCTTACCTTATCCACCCCACCATTTTTCCCTATTTAAATTATAGTATTTTTAGGTAAAATAGGGACCAAACGCGTAATAAAAACGAACAATAGGGACCAAGTGCGTAACAAAAACAAACAGTAAGGACCTTCCGAGTTAAAAAAATAAGTTAGGAACTAAGCGCGCAAATTACCCCTAAACATAGGGACCATTCGTGTAATTTACTCTATATTATATGGAGCTGAGATAACATACCTTTCTTGAAATCCCTTCTCCTGCTTTAGTTTTGGTAAAATCACAAGCATCAGAGAGGGTATCCTGTCCATGTGAAAAGCAGAGCTCATATACATGTTGAGGTCGAGCAGGACTACCTCCAAGAACCAAAATGACAGCCTCAACATGTGGGATCTCACTGAAGACCAGCTTGAGGGCAGTTTGGGCATTACCAATATTGTTCATCAGCTTTTGGAGCCTTTTTATGCCATGTTTTACTTCTCTCTTTCTTCCATTTTGAACTCTACGTTGAGATGCTTTCATTTCTGTCTCTGCAAGAACTACCTCCTGAAAAGGAATTCTTAAATGAAATCATTATCTTTAAGAAAATTGTGCAAGCTTAGCATACCAGATCTTTATACTCCGTATGCAGTGCATCAAACTCAAGATTGACATCTTGTAAGATCCTGCAAAGAAAAAAGGTATAAAGGTTGACCATTTCTAGCATACAAAAGAGCACCATTACAAGTTTAATAGGAACTGAAGATTGAATTTATAGTAACTAACAGATTAAAACAAGTGCAGTTGTAACAAGAATCATCATGATTTTCCTTCATACAGCTTCAAGCAAACAAAAGAACGTTTTTTCATGCTTCAAAAGTCTTATTTGATGTGAGTGGAGAAAGAGAGAATTAACTTTTTAACTTTTCTTTTTAATCTAATATAAACAGGAAGCTTATACTTGAGAAACTATCAGCTTTCTTTGTCTTTTTTCACAGGTCCTAGGAACGAGCTGATACCTAAAACATATCACTTTCTTTCTTCCAGCTTGAGAGAGAACAATTTAAACAAGATTATTATTGTCATCTTTTACTTTCAATATCTATATTTCTCTCCCAATACACAAAATTAACAAACTTTATGACAAACATAAAGTTGCAAAATAGAGATGGAACTGGAACCAGAAATATTCACATTGTTGCAGCTCCACACGACCAATTACAAAATTCGGGACAAATTACTCTCATAACAGATAATCTTCCTTTTAATTATGCAAATAAGAGTCGAGATACATTATCCTTTCACACATACATCTAATTTTCGACTTCCTGAGACACATGCCTAACATATAATCTCAATATTTAGGTTATTCAAGCACGGATGTTCAACAACTCAATCAAATGTCAGAAATCATGAAATAAAAACTGATATGTGATAAGGAAAGTGGAATTGATATGGAACTTACGAAGGGATCTGTTGGTGCATGTAAAGGACAAACCCTAGGATATCCATAACGAGATGAAACATCACAGAGGCGTCGATAGAGTCCGCCGCAACTTCGAGGTCGGCGAACTCCATCTCCGAGCTACCTCCTCCTTCCATCGGTTGACACTTGCGTGCTCAATGCTCTGCTCCTAATTTTGAAAAAGCCAAGAGGCGGGTAAACATTCGTGAATCAAGATCAAGCTTTGATTTTCAACGTAATACTATAGTTTTTGTAACGACATTTTTAGAATAAGGTTATATTCGGCATTTTAACTTGTTTTTTTTTTTTTAATATATCAATGAAACGAGTTTATAAAATTTTAAAAAGAATTAAGACATCGTTTATTAATTATAAAAAATCATTACCTATCTTAATTGATGATAACGTAAACTATTTGAATATGAAATAATTAAAACATTAAATAAGTAAATAACAATTGTAATCATTTTCATGATTGTTCCTTAAAATCTAAATATCTTCTATATTCTGAAATTCACAAAATATATTTATATTATTTATTGAAGTTAATATAAATAAAAGAATAATCATTATATATAAAATATATAAAGATAGTATTTTTTATAAGTATGTCAGTTATCAAAATATATGAAGGTGACATTATTGATCGAGATTAACGACATGTCTAATTAGTGAATTCATATGCTATCATATTTTCATAAAATTGTATGATACTTCAAATGACGTATTTAATTTGATTATGTGTTTGCTTAGTTTGAATTAATTATAAAAATTCCCTCACATGTATTACATATTTCCCTTATAATGATAAATCATTTTTTATGATTTTTAAATGCTTGTTTATATCATTTTCCATTTAACAAATAAAATTTTTAGTTACATAACATAATTTTTATCAACTATTATTAGGTAGCAGTTTTTTAGCCAATCTGTAAAATATAATCTTGTTATTTTTGCTAACTATATCATTATCTTATTATAATTACTAAATGGTAAATGTAATTTTGAATCAGAACTTTCCAAAATGAAAAATATATATTATGAGAAACTTATTATACTTTTAAGATTTAAAAAAAAAAAAAAAAAAAAAAAAAAAAAAAAAAAAAAAGTGAAATGAGGTATTTTATTTCTTCATATCTTCTGAAAAGATTTTTTCTTTTTTTCTCTTTTAGGTTATTTTAAAAAATATAATATTTTCTTTTTTTGGTAATGATATTAAAAAAAAAAATTATATTTTAGACCGTTAGACTAACGTTTCTAACATGATTTTTTTAAAATATATCATTTATTTATTAATTATAAAAGCCTTACGTTTCTAACATGATTTTTTAAATATATTATTTATTTATTAATTATAAAAAGACGTAATACGTCGATGATCATTTAAACTATTTGAATAGAAAAGTAAATAAACATTGTTATAACAAATGTAATCATTTCTATGACCAAAATTCTAAGTATATTTTTATATTCTAGAAATTATCAAATATCGTGATATTGTTGATTAGGTTAAAAAAAAAAAAAATAATAATCATTACTATACGTAAAGATAATAGTTTATCCTATCAAAACACATGTTAACACGGCGTTTAGTTTTTTCGAATGACCTATTTAACTTGATTACATGTCTGCACATTTTGTTTTTTATTATAAGAATCTCCTAAATAAAGACAAACATTGATGTAGATCCAAAATGGTCATACATACCTATGACAAGAAATTCATTTATACACAAGAAAATCCCCAAAACACAAAAAAGGAAGAATAGTAATAATGTTGATGACCCGATGAGATACTGGGACAACAATACATATACCAGCATATAATATAACCAGAGAGTGTGTTTGCCTCCACAAATGGTTCATATCCCAGACAGACGTGAAACTTTGTTTTTTTTATTGTCTGCTCAGAGTGGAGCCCTTTGTTGCAACACATCATCATCCATCATGCAATAAGACAATAAGACAATAAGACAATAAGACAATATGCATGCTGCTTCCCTTTTTGTGTGTTTCGATTGGTAGAGTATGTATCAATGTATGTGTGTATCATACACCGTATCGCTTTAAAGCTTTGGTTAAACTTGGCATGACATTGTAGGCTTCATAAGATCTTTTTAGTTCGATGATTGAACCCACCTGCACCAAGTCACCAACAACATGTCATGTCATTGTCTTGTCTTCCATTTTGCACAAACAAGATGTGGAATTAAGAGCTAAAAATTGAAAGTGGTATATAATTAAGACTTACGATGATTAGAACAGATGTAAACCCTATCGAAAATCCTTCATTTGTTTTTCGCAGATAATGATCAAGAATTGTTGATGATGTCGCCAATATACTCAACAGCAAACCACCTGAAAAAACAAACAAAAAAAAGTTTCAGTTAATTAATCATGCTATGCAACAAAACACATAACATAATTTTAGCTGGAAAGATTTGTTTGTGTTGTGGAGAGAGAGAGAGAGAGAGAGAGAGAATACCCCAGAAACGGGTTGAAGCTTGAATCTTGGTCAAATATTCAACAGTCGCCTTTCCAGGCTTTATATTTGGTATCCTTGCCCCCATTTTATTCAAGTACTCTGCAATTTCCTTTGGCATGTTCGCCTGACAATAACACAATTAGTCAATTAATTACAAATATATACGGTATATGTTTAAACTTTAAACACCCTTGTATCTATCATATTCATTGCTAAAACATGAGTACTTACAATATCAAATATGTTGAAAAGGAAAACAAAGAATGCATAGATTGTATAGTACACCCATGGTGCTGCTCCAAGAGATGATTCAGGATTTAGAATCTCTCTCACATTTCTCCAAAATCTTGAACTAAAAAAGCTGCCAACAACAGGGGTATGTATCAATATCGTCCAACTGATGGAGATGGATCAAATTTTAAATTAAAATCACCACAAAAACAAAACAAACCAAACCAAACCAAACATCAAACACATCCAATAACAATCAAGATGTTAGGATATTTATAATCATACATAAATATGATCAAACCTGGCAACAATTGCAGGAAAGCCTAATAGGTAGCTGGTAGTGAGGACAGGTTGCATTCCAGATGGATTGATATTGAATGGAATATATTGCTCCACCTCTGTAACTGGGGAATCTTCTCTGTCCACAACATAAATAATTTCACAAATTACTAATCTTCATTCTTTACTTGTACTACTACTCAAATCAAAGTATTAAAAAGAAAAACACACAATATGACCTTGTGGAAGATGCAAGTTTGAAGCCATAGTATTGCAGCTTGATTTTTCTGCAACCCTGAGTTACAACAACCGCCCACATAGTCACAACAACAAACACACCCGACACTCCAAATATATATTGCCACCATCCACTGCCACCTACACCACAAATTTTTATTTAATTTTTCATGCATTTCAATTACTACAAACACAAACAACATGTTGCACTCACCTGACAGCTGAGACAACATTTTATGTAATGTCTCTATGTAGCCATTCAAGATATTCACACATATCAGCAAAGATGATCCATGACCTACATCATGAGTCATGACATACATTCTATATCATCAAACACCTGAAAAATGAGAACCCAACACACACACACACACACACAATAAATTCACATACCAAAACCAGAGTCTGATATTTTGTCACAGATCCATGTTGTAGTCATTGCACCAGAAACCAACAAAATTGTTGTCAGCATGATGTGCTTCAATCTGCAAGTAAAATATTAATAATAAGCAACTTCCAAGGTGTGTAAATCAATACTAGAAATTACCTTTGACTTGCATTTGCTGCATAAATCGAATACGAAAGTGAAAAATAAGAAATGATCAGTGCCTCTACTATTGCAAACCCAAGCGACATCCACCATCTGGAATCAAGTAAGAAAAACATGGGATTATTAACCTTTCTATAATAATAGTATAGAACCATTTTTAAGAGAACGTGAGTAAACATACATATAACCCTTTATTTTCTCATTAGCATCCAACCCTTCTTTCCTTAGCTTGACCAATGAAGGAAGAACATAGCAAAGTACCTGATCCCATAATCACTCTCTATAATTAGCTTAAATATATGAAATCAAATTCAATTTCAATCACAATCAACCTGCATAACAATAGATGCTGCAATTTGGGGACTGATTCCAAGTTGGAATAGGGAAAGCTTAAGTTCTGGTGCCAGCTCACCAAGCTCCTCTGCCATTTCAGACAATGAAATTATAATAAGAAATGAAAAGAAAAGATAATGATGATTAAAATGTCATTAACATACCAACTGAACCCGAGACAAAACTAAGGTAATTCTCTGGTACTAATCTTCTATCAAAACCAGGAAGAGGAATAAAATATCCTACACGACTAATCACAAGTAATGCAGCAGTAACAAATAATCTCCTTCTTATCTCACTCTTGAAAAATGATTCAGCAGCATTATTGATGACTGAACCTACGCGTGCAAAAATAAGGAATCTGTTTTCATATTTGGGTTTTGGTTGTGATTTCTCAGGATTATATGAACTAACTTCAAACTCGTGTTCAGAAGCTTGCTCGATAAGTTCGTGGCTTAGAGACTCCGCAGATGCTGAATGGATTCTCATATGGCTTCTTTTGGGCTGATTGTATATGGACATTGGTGAATTGTGGCATTCACTTGAATGAAAAGGTTTTGCTAAATTTACAAAATGTAGTTTGTAAACTTCTGAATTCGTGGTCTTGAGGGAAAATCTTTTTCTATCATATGGTACATGCCATAACTGGAGGCTACGTGCATGTCTGCCTGTTCATCAGAGAAAAGGAATTACATATTACACCCATAAGAATAAGATAACAATTTAATTTAAACTCAGTAGTTAGATAATTTTAGAATTATTTTAATAATCAGTTTATTTTGATCACAAAAATCAGCAAATCCTAATTATATTCAGTTTTCCCAATCACTAGAAAGCTGAGAACTTATGCATCACTTTATAAATCCCCATGAGTAATCTTCAACATTTTTTAATGATGAAAATGCTCGGACAATTATCCTAAGTTCTTACGATTCTAAAAATTTGATCTTTGTCACATAATCAGAGCCTCTACTCAGGATAAGTCTTCTATTCATACCACTTACCCAACACAATTCATATAAATTCAAGAACATGATTATATGACAAAAGTCGATTAAGAAATAGGAATTATCAAAATTACCTGATACGCGTAATCCACGTTGTAGAGAAAAGCAATTAGCGGATAGTGATTTAACGTCGCTAAAACATGGGTTGATGCTCTGCATTTGCAAATTCTTTGAAATGTAAACCCTAGTCCTTATAAATAGTTCAGTAATAGCTATATCTCGTTAATTAACTATTGACGGCTTAGACCGGCGGCGAAAAGATTACACAAGGAAGTGGACGGATTGTGGACGTTGGTCGTACCTGGGGCCTGGGGTTTTGCTTCGACAGTATTGGGGTTTTAAGACGATTGTGATATTTATATTGTTGGTCCAGTACTTATATTTTTCATAGTTTTGCCACAGAACGTTTATCAAAGTTCAATAGAATTACCAAACTCCGGTCCCAATACAAAATAACTAACATACAAGGTCTATGTCATAATGATTTGGTTTGTTTTTGTTTTAACAGTAAAACGTTGCCCAATTAGGTAAGTTTAGTTTATAATGTTCCAAACCAAATCATGGATTTTACTGGACTAGTTTGGCTTGGTAGAAAAAAATATATATACCTACTTGAAAACTCAACATCCAACTTAGGTTTAGGTCATATTTGGAAAATAAAAATATACTTTATTGTAATTTAGTATTTGGTAAAATTATAAAAATAATTATTACGGTTTATAAAGCATATTATAAAATAACTTATTGATAAACTAATTTAAAAGAGTTTATTGATAACTTAGCTTATAAGTTGGTTTGTCAGCATGAATATATGACCTTAACTGAAAATCTCAATCCCAAGTTGATGACCGAAAAAAAAAATATGGGATCCCAAATCCGTACTCGTTTGTACTTTACAATATTAAATATTATAAGTTTATGGTTATAACAATAGAAACATAAGTTTTTCCTTGTTTTTTTTTCTTTGTGCTTGTTTTGACCCACAATCACCCCTCGAGTTGTATGATTTCCCTTGTCAAGTATAAAAGATCAAAAGTCTTATCACGTTTGCATATTTAGGTAAAAGTAAGCTCATAAGTTGGTAATCCCTTTATGTCGATGATCATGTTGGTTAAAGTGGTTTCTTTAATATTTATTATTTGCGTATGGTTTCAAGCGATTGAACTTTTTGGTTTAGATCAATCGTAAAGCCTTCTCCAGTAAGTCTTTTGATCATGTGGAATGGGGAAAAATCCTGTTGACAATTGGTGGGATTGTTAAATTATATTTAGTACTTAATTTTACGTTTATCATGTGGCTCCCAACACATAAACACTGCAACATAAGTATCACATCTACTCAATTGCATACACATTTGGACTGGAGCACCTACCATTTCTTCATATGCTTAGAGCAACTCTGAAAATAAAACCTATTTTATTCTACCAAACACGCTTCCAAACTTTACTAAGTCTCACAGTAAGTTTTACTCCTACTCACAAAAAATATATATATTACACGTAAATCTGCTGTCAATACAGATAACTCTCACATAATAAACACCATATAAATTCCAAAAAGTAGTCCCTGAGTAACTCAATGCATACACATTTGGAGCACAAACATATCCTTTCTTTCAAAGGATTAAAGCGACTACATGAAAATAATCTAAGCCATACAAATTAGTAACTTGACTGGAAAAAAAGAAAAAGGCCAATTTGCAAGACCTTTTTTTTCTACTAAAGATGCGTTGAAACTTCACTTACGCACATTTTACTTGTCACCTTTATAAGTTGATATGTTTCATCATTCAATTCCACTTTATCTTTCTTCATCCTCTCACCTACAATTAATGGCATTTTTCCAGCTTTCACATACGTCTTAAGAACCAAATTATATATCTCTGTGCTCACATAGCCAGCATCACGAAGAGTCGCCAACACTTGTTCAGCACCCTCAACATTACCATATTCTTCAAGCATTCCATACACTTTTCTAACAATCTTTTCATCCGGGTCCCACTTTTTCACTGACCCTATAGCTTTCTTGAAACATTCCAAAACTTTATCCATTTCCTTTTCATGTACATAACCATATGTAAGAAGCTCCCATGATGTGTAACTAGGTACAATTCCTTTTTCAACCATCCTTTTTTCAAAAAAGTTTTCAGCCATTTTCATTTCGTTTTTGTTGATGTAAGCTGCAAGGATCAAATTTGGAACCCTAGAATCGCCAGTTATAGATACAGACTCCCATTCTGTATATATATTCTCTGCTTCTTTAAGCTCGTTAAGTTTTATCATAGAAGATATCATGCAATTATATTCCGCATCATTTAGCTTCCGAAAGGTTGATTTCATCTTCTTCCATATGCGATCAACATCTTCTTTTTTCCCAAGACTTGTATAAAGACTGATAATTGAAGAATAAGCAACACGGACTTTTTTAGAAACCCTTTTCTCCATTTCCTTAACACTCAAGGAAGCATCTTCATGTCGTGAGTTTTTAAGATACAAACTGGTTAAAAGACTAAATGTTACCCAATCTGGATCCACCTTTCTCTTCTTGAGCTCAAGAATAATCTTTTCAGCAGTAATGATGTCATTCTGGGAGTTACATGCTGTTAACCATAGATTGTAAGTTACTATATCTGGTGAGGTATTCTTTTTCAGCTCCTGAAGAATTCCAGGAAGCTTTTGTAATTGGCCATTGGAGATGTAGAGTGACATCATATGGTTAAAAGGAAGAGGGTATTTCAAGAAACCACATTCTGACATTTTTGCCATTAAAGCTTCGGCTTTGGAAGAATCTTTATGCTGGACGTAAGTATGGAGAAGAGATGTACAGGTTGGCTGCCCTTTCATTTGATCTGGAAGATCTTCAAAAAACTTCTCTGCGCTGTTTACACCACGAATTTTTGCAATTAAGTCCAAGTGAACAGCGTAATCTCCTTCTACTAACTTGATATCTTGTTGTAAAGTCATCCATTCACAAACCTTCAGAATATTCAAATTAATGTTAAAAGAAAAACTTAATACAAATAATTTTCAAAACCAGCACATCGACAGTAGAATTAAAGCTATTATTCTTTACAAAAAGTCAGATATACTTCTATCTGAAGCTGATAACCATTTAATCAATCATAATGTAAAGACATACAAGATAATTCTTACTAAATTGACAGTGAAAACTTCAAATAGATTTATTCGAACTGTTGCAAAATTTTCGTAATGTAGACGAGAGATATGAGTACCTCGAGGGCGTGTTTGTAACGCTTTAGCTTCCGGAGCTCTCGTACTATGCGATTAAGCTCGTACTTACGAACTACGTGCCCTTCCTCCTTCCATTTCTTTATGGTGATAACGGCGCTGCGTTTCGTGTAAACCAGGCTAAGAAGCCTTCGACCTAAGGTGTCCTTCCCGGCACCGGTGTTTTTCCTAGGGGCGATGGTGATGGCACCAGAAGCAGGGGATGGAACTGGAACTTTCGAAGCCTCCGCAACCGCTGTGGCCGAGAAATATCGGACAGCGGCGAGTGATCGTCGACCAAGACGGAGCATGGCTTACACCGTCAACAGACCCAGGCAGAGTGGTGCGGCTGCAGCCTTCTGGGTTCCATGACCATGACCAAGAAACGGTGAATCAGGGGTAAATTTTGGGCCCCCATTTCAATTGAATATGGGCTTCGAAAGAAAAAGTTGGTTTTCTTTAGTTTGTTAAAAAATAAAATAAGTAGTACACCAATATTTATTATTATTATTATTATTATTATTATTATTATTATTATTATATCATCCAATATGATATGATTTACTACTCAATCATAATACATGAAATATTTAATCATAACAAATATTATGATTAAATATTTTTGTTATGTTATGTAGGTTAATCATAAATTTTGTTATGATTCAAAATTATAAATTTAGAATTTATATCGTCTCTATTTGACTATTTGTATAGAAAGTTCAAATACAAATTTTGATGTATTTAGTTATCTTAATAAGAATAATATTGTATAACTAAATAAAATTTGCTAAAAAATCGTTAAACCAACCACTAATTATGCATAATAATTAACTGACTTACGATCTGATATTTATTAAATTAGTGGTCGAGATTAGTCATCGAGTTCCAAAAAAAAATGGATAATTAGGATATGTCCAATGCACATTTGACTATTTTTAGCATTGATTTGGTGGAACATCCGGATATAATATATTGACTTCAATTTTGTAATGTTTCATTTTCACAACCAAAAATTTTTTATTTTATTAAAGTAAAACTTACCAAATATAAATCCATTATAAAGAAAACCGTTTATTATAAAATACATTTATTGAAAATCATAGTAATATTAAAGCGCAAAATCTTCATTGTTGCTAATGAATGTTTACATTCACGCATTCGTCCTCCCATGATAACCGATAATACCTGAAACAATAAACAACTAGGTAAACACAAACCTTAGTGAGTTTCCCCCAAAGTACTCATACGATAAACATACAGGCATGCACAACGGTCCCCAATCATCGGATTGGAATGCTCAGGCCCCATAAGTCACCGGACTTGAATGCGAACATGCAACGGGTCCAATTAGTCATCAGACTAGAATACCCAAAGTTTGTTGGCTTACCGCCTCAAGCCAACTGCTGGTCCTGAGCCTCCGTACCTACGGCTTACAGCTGGCCCGCACCAGGTATGTTGGCCTATAACACAAAGCAAGACCCCGCACCAGATATATTTTTAGTTATTTTAATCATTTGATGAGTGTTTTTTAACGTCATGGTATATTTTTTATAGGTAATGCAGTGTAATGTTTTTTTTTTGAAGTAATGAAATGAAGTTTTTATTGTTTAAAATTTAGTTTTTTTTATAAAAAAATAGATTCTTAAAAAATAAGTGTGGCAACACTACTTGGGTGTGGTACCAAACCATATTTTTTTTGGTAAATACTGGGGTGACGCCTACATGGCAGTGTGATAACATGAGGGAGTGTGACACAACTCCTTCCACCCTAAAGAGCTTTTGATAAGAAGGGTAATAAACCTTTTTTGTAAAATGATTTGCTAGAAGTCTCAAACACCTATAAACTTTTTTTTTTTAAATGATACCTAAACATTATTTTTAACTTATATAGGCTATATAGGTATGAAACCGATAATAAGTTAAAAAAATATATATTTTTTAAGCTTAGCCAAACCCTCTCTAACCCACCAAGACCCATTTTTAAATCTTGAACAAAGAAAAAGAAAAGAAGTGTGCTTTTGGCTCCAAAGTATATAAAACTATAATCTTCGTGTGCTAACAGTTAGGCTGAATCAAATTAATTTAATTTTAAGTTGTATAATATTAATTATAACTAGAAAGGTTGGCCAGAAGCTTTCAATGTTGTTTCCGAATCGATAAATATGACAGACGTAGAAAGCGCAAGAATGACAAGCCCGGTCTTTGCCACTGACCGTTTTGTTCATGTTTTTATGAAAAAATGTAAAAGTTTTGACTGTAAGGACCAGAAGTGTCAAAATGACTAAAAAATTAAAGCGGTAGGAATTAGCAAGTTTTTAGAAAAGGATCAAAGTTGTCAAACCGTTAAAGTTTTGTGGCCAAACTTTAAATATTAAAAGGTTCATAAATAGAAAAGGGATCAAAGTTGTCAAACCATTAACGTTTTGTGGCCAAACTTTAAATATTAAAAGGTTTCTAAAAATGTAAAAATATCGATTATAAGGACCAAAATTGTCAAAATGGCTAAATAATGAGGACCAAAGTTGTCAAACCGTTAAAGTTTTGTAGCCAAACTTTAAATATTAAAAGGTTCCTAAATAGAAAATGGATCAAAGTTCTCAAACCGTTAAAGTTTTGTGGCCAAACTTGAAATGTTAAAAGGTTCCTAAAAATGTAAGAAAATATCGATTACAAGGACCAAAAGTGTCAAAATGGCTAAAAAATGAGGACCAAAGTTGTCAAATCGTTAAAGTTTTGTGGCCAAACTTTAAATATTAAAAGGCTCCTAAATAGAAAAGGGATCAAAGTTGTCAAACCGTTAAAGTTTTGTGGTCAAACTTTAAATATTAAAAGATTCCTAAAAAATGTAAAAATATCGATTACAAGAAACAAAAGTGTCAAAATGGCTAAAAAATAAGGATCAAAGTTGCCAAAGTACAGGGACCAATTCTGCCAAAGTAAACAACATAAAGTGCGTTAAAGTTGTCAAACCGTTAAAGTTTTGTGGCCAAACTTTAAATATTAAAAGGTTCCTAAATAAAAAATGGATCAAAGTTGTCAAACTGTTAAAATTTTGTGGCCAAACTTTATGTAACAACGAATTTTCAAAACAAATTTTTCATTTTTCAACAACCAAGTTCATATAAAAATATTCTCAAAAGCATCCAATAATAGTTATCGAATCATAACATATCCGAAGATCACTAAAATCAAATCCTCTCTCTAGTGTGTACGGGTCACGTAGGCGCCTTTCCACGGTCCTCGCTAGTACCTGAAACACATAACACAACAACTGTAAGCACAAATGCTTAGTGAGCTCCCCAAAATACCGCATACAACACATACGCCACTCGAGGTTATAGCATGACCCTCCGGTCGATGTGTCTCAGCGGGACCCTCCAGTCCCGTAGCTAGTTCGACCCTTTGGTTCGGTCATAGCTCGTTGGACCCTCCAGACCGTTCTGTATCGTTGGACCCTCCGGTCCGGTCTATAAAATCATACAACATACATATATCACATAACACATAATCTCATACATAGCACATAAGACCCCCTGGTCAACACATAATACCACTCTAGGTAATGTATAGTGAGAAGACTCACCTCGTGTAACTCGGTAACTCGGAAATCTCGAACTCAAAGAAATAAGACCTAGCCTTCGCCTAATCATATGAAATAATCACTTATCATCAACATAATTCCCAAGGGTAGACCATTTCCTTTAATCACTCTCAGGAGAGGTAAAAGACCATTTTACCCCTTGGCTCAAATACACTAAAGTTGACCAAACCCTAAAAGTCAACAAAAGTCAACACTCAGGGTTATGCTGCGCGTACCAAACGTGTACGTTGGGCGTACCCGGAGCCTTCACATAATCGGGGTACGCGGCCCCTTACGCCGCGCGTATTACGCAGCGCGTATTGGGATTACGCCCAACGTAATACCCAACTTCCTCATCCATCTCATTCAGGTCTTAAATGGTTAAGACTTGCATCCAAAATTCAGATCTGACTCCTCTAACATGACTTAATCCATAAAGTTGAAACCTTTAAGCCTTTGCATGGCTGTAAAGGTCATTTTGCTCTCAAAACACCTTTCCTCTTTCCATAATGAGGCTATAACTCATGCATGGCACGAGATCCACATCCAAGACTGGATTTTTATGAATCCTTAACACAATATACACTAGAAAAGGCCAGATCTAAACTCATGGAGACTCTTTGCACATAAAGTCTCCAACTTTGAACCAAAAACCCTAAAAATGGTCCAAAAAGCAAAACTTATGAAGAACCAGGAAAGCTTTGAGCTTTTTACCTCAGAAGTGATCTCCAACCAATGTAGAACTCGGATCTACACTTGTTCTTCAACTTCTAGCTCCAATAATGGCTCCTTCTTCTCCTTCTTTACCTTGAAAAGGTAACTTCAAGCTCAAAAACACACACACAAGCTAAAGCACGGATCTCAACTCTCTAAGGACTCACTCAAGGAGGGGGGGGGGGGGTTTATGGTGGCTAGGGCAAAGGACTACATGTTCCTTTTATAATTCACAAGCCAGAAATTTAGGGTTTACATCTGGGCTCACTACGCCCAGCGTACTCGGGCGAGTCCGCATTCAAATTAAGAGCGCGAGTGCGCGCGACGTACATCTCAGTATGCCCAACGTACTCACCAATCTCACATACAACTTTAAGGGCCTAATTTGACAACTCTCCAAAATAGAAGGACCATAAAGCTTACCTGGATTTCGGGCTGCTACACTTTAAGTATTAAAAGGTTCCTAAAAAATGTAAAAATATCGATTACAAGAACCAAAAGTGTCAAAATGGCTAAAAAATGAGGACCAAAGTTGCCAAAGTACAGGGACCAAATTTGCTAAAAAAACAACATAAAGTCCAGGGACTAAAATAGACAAAAATTGTAGAAAATGGATCAAAGTTGTCAAACCGCTAAATTTTTGTGGCCAAACTTTAAATATTAAAAGGTTCCTAAAAAATGTAAAAATATCGATTACAAGGATCAAAAGTGTCAAAATGGCTAAAAATGAGGACCAAAGTTGTCAAACCGTTAAAGTTTTGTGGCCAAAGCTTAAATATTAAAAGGTTCCTAAATAGAAAAGGGATCAAAGTTGTCAAACCGTTAAAGTGTGGCCAAACTTTAAATATTAAAAGGTTCCTAAAAAATATAAAAATATCGATTACAAGAACCAAAAGTGTCAAAATGACTAAAAAATGAGGACCAAAGTTGCCAAAGTATAGGGACCAATTCTGCCAAAAAAATAAACATACAGTCCAGGGACTAAAATAGACAAAAATTGTGGAAATTCACTATTCATAAGAAACAATTTCCATACTATATATAATAATGTAATATATGATGGAGTAAAAAAAATATTAATAACGTAGAGTGTTGATCATTTCTAAAAGTTTGTGGTGTTGTAATAAGGATTAGTGAAAATGATGTATAGACGAGGCATCACTTTTTTAATAAACATGTAGTGATCATACCTCTTAGCTTGACCGTGACCACAAACGGTAAGTGAGTGGTAGATTTTGGTCCCTATTTCAGTTGAATATGGAATTCACAGGAAAAGTTTGTTCTCATTTATATAAGGTTATACTATAATAATATGGGTAGATTTGTAACAAATAACAAATAAGGCATTGAGTAGTTTAAAACCTTCTTTTCCAACAAAATTTATTTGATTATAAGCAAGATTTTATTTTTATTAAAATAGTAATACACCAATATTTTTTTTTGTTGTTGTTGTAATTTGAATCATATCATCTCATAGGATACAATAACTATTGTTATGATTTGACAAACATGATAAAATATTTTTGCTATGATTTGCCATTTAATCATAATTTTCATTACAATTAAAAATTATAGATTATAAATTTGTAATGTAAATATGTTTTCTATTTGTATAACTAATTCTGATGTATAGCTAAATAAAATTTGCTAAAAAACGATCAAATAACAACTAATTGATACATAAATAGTTAATTGAGTTACCAAAAAACACAGTCAAAAGATTTGACATTTATTAAATTAGTTATCGAGACAAATAGTCGGTTTCCAATGAAAAAAATGGAAAGTGATTATAACCAATGTTGAAAAAATGGATAATCAAGGTAGTCCAATGTTTGGAACTTATGGCCCACACATTTAATTGTTTTCGAGTTCATTTTAGGAGGGGAGTAAAAGGGAAAAAAAATCCAACATGTTATTGGTTTATTTTTAAGGATAGAATGGAAGGGAAATGAAAGATAAAGGGAAAATGACTTATGTAGGTAACTAACTATTTTGATTGTCCACATATAGGTAATGTTCTTTTTTTGTTCTCATTAATGAAACCAACTTGTTATTTATGTTCATATTTAGGTAATATGACCGGCTATTACCTGTTTTTGCTTATGTGGCAGCCATCTGGCACGTGACTAGAATACGTTGCACCTATGTGGCATTGTGCATATATTCTCTTCATTTACAGTATAAGAAGTCATTCAATTACACCCCTGATTTTGAACCCTAGATCGACGAGGGCTTCTTCTTCCTCATCTTATTCTTCAAACGACAAGATGAATTTCAAGTTGATCATCCATGTGATTGCAACTTACCATCTCGTGTGAAGAGTTTAAGAACCCCTAACAACCCTGGAAGAAAATTTGGAGTTTGTCAAAACTCGATGGTAATCAGTATTGTTGAATACGTTGCAACTTTCTTCTTCTTCATCCTTTAATTTAACTTTTTTTTTTAAATTTTCTTCAAGAATGGAAAAAGTTCAAGCTGTAAATTCTGGCAATGGCTGGATGAGGATGAAGGGAGGACAGATGGAAGAAAGCTATACTGGATGAAACCAGAAGAAAGCTGTAATTTAATCTTGAAATTTTGCACTTTGAAGAATGAAATCAGCATATGTAGGATGAAGATCGAACAAGAAAACAACACCAATTTGGTTAATAGACAAGAATTGTACAAAGTCAAGTGGAAGTTGTTTACTCACAAATTGGCACTGATTTTGTTATTTGTATTGTATGTGAAAATGTTGGCTTGATTGTTGTTCATGATGTATTAGGGTTGAATGATGTATTTCATGATTAAAACTTGATTGGTATGCTTATGTATGTAATGAATGGATGGAACTTTTGTTACATGTTTTTGCTTCTGATGTTTTTGTTACATGTTTAAAATGAAAAACAATTAAACACTGAAATGGTATACATTGAAACATTGGGATGTAATATAATCTAACATGGGAATGTAACATTGTATTCCCAAGAAACATTGTTTACAAAACATTGGAATTTAACACAGTTACACATGCATTACTGCCAAAAGGTACACACAAGATTCCAAAAGTAACATATATAACTAGACATAAGTCCAAAAGTTACACATATTACTAGACAAAAGATTCCCGGTCAATGATGCCATAAAATAACCAATTGTCAAATTCTATTCCAATTCCATTGGATTTTCACCACTACTCCCCTGTTTCCCATCTCACTTCTTTCTTATTTGAATTTTTGTGATTCTTTCTGAAGGTTTACTTCTTCTCTTTCCCTGTAGAACTTGAAATGCTGGTAGTTCCATCATATGCTCGTCTTCCACTGGATCTTGAACTGCAGCCTGTCCTTGGTCATCTTGTCCAACTGGATCTTGAAGTACTTCAAGTTCTTCACCTTCTTGACCATCACCCTGTCCTTCAGCTTCAACTTCTACTTGATCTACAACTGCAGCCTGGTATTCACCTTCTTCAACTTCAACTTCAACAAGTGCTTCAACTTGTTCTTCAACCCCTCTAACTTCAACTTATTCTTCAGCTTCAACCTCAGGTTGGTCTACATCTTCATATGTATGATTACCCTCTTCAAAATCAACTTCATAAGACTCCACCTCACTGTCAGGCTCCCTTTGAACTTCACTGTCACTATCACTTTCCACATCAACTTCTTGATTCCATTCAACCTTCACTTTACCTGTTATGAAATAATTCAAATGTTAGAATTAGAAGCTGTTATATTGTAATCAAAAGGTAAAGGAGGAGAAATACCCTTTTTGTTGCCTTTTTTATTTTTTGACTTTGGCTTTGGATTAGATGATTCTCAATTGGTTTTTGATGACATTTTGCTTTATTATGCCCTGATTCTCTGCATATGTTGCATCTCATAACAATTCCCCTTTTTGAGACTGTATGCTTATTGCCCTTTAGTTTACTCTCAATCTGATCCCATTTCCTGTTTGTTGATGGTCTTCCTGGCATCCTTCTCTTTTTGGGAGGCAATGGCTTGATGTAATCCACATCAGGCCACATATCACTACCATTTAGTGACTTAATGGTGTACATGTAGGCATTACAAAACATTGTTGTGGTCAGCCATGGTGATACATAGTCCTCTAGATCCCTATTGAGGTTTGAAATTGCAGCAGATGCATGTACACAAGGGTAACCAGTTAATTGTCAGCCTCTACATCCACATGTTTTCTTACCAAGGTCTACAACATATGCATCTTGTAAAAGTCTCAATTCAAATTGTTGATAACCAGATGGTACAACTCTCCAAAATCTGTCCACACACACTTAAATGTAAGTATATACAATTGAATGTCAGACACACATATATATATATATATATATATATATATATATATATATATATAAGGTATTCAACAACTAACCTTTGAAGTTCCTTAATCTTGGACAATTTCAGTCTAATGGCAGGACATATGTTTAAGTCTCCCCAAGAACTTCCCTTACTTTTTTGTCTACAAAGTCTCTCCATCACAAATTCTAATTTCCTTTAACATAGTGATTAGAGGTCTCTTCCTGGTAGCTCCAATGATTGAGTTAAAACTCTCAGAAACACCACAAATCATACCCATTCTTTACCGCATAATTGGTTAGACATAGCTTCAATTACATTGGGTTTGCAAACTTCATACCTAGAATTGGCACCATCTTATCCCATTCTTGATTCTCATCATGGACATGGAATACAACCTTATCATCTTTTCCATCATTAGGTTGATCATCATCACTAAGCTTACCTGAAAGTTTGTTTAAAAAATTGTCACCAACAATTTTGTTAAAGGTATGGACTTCTTCATCAACTTCATGCTCATATGCCATAATATCATCCAAGTTATCATCTTCATTATTGTCATCCTCTTCTTCCTTGTGATCCTCTTCTTCATTGCCGTCCTCTTCTTCGTTGTCATCCAAGTCATACCAATTACCATCTGATAACACCTCATTTTCAGCCTAATCAAGGATTGGATCATTTTGGAGGTCAATGTAGACATCCAACTGAGCTTCAGGAGTATAAGTAGCTTTAACAAACTCTCAATAATCAGCATCACTGTCGATTCTTATAATACCCTCACCCAATGTTTCCTTTCTACTACAGTAGTACACACTATCACAACTTCCATTGGTTAAATTCCTAAGCCACAAAAGAAACTCTTTGTACGTAAATCCTCCAAAATCGACATCACGCACTGTTATCTTTTCGAGATCTAAGTATTTCAACGGATTTCGGGCAAATACTCCATTGTAATGAACATCTACAGTTAAATACTTACCTGTAGATGATTGGGACGCCATCTTACAGTCGACTTCAACACGTAACTTCAACTCCAAACTCTAATCTTCAATTTGGTGAATTGAATCTAAAATCAGGAGATGATTATGGTGAAAATGAAAGTATCGAACCCTAATTAAATAAGAAATGGGAGTAATGGTCACGTAAGAATCCACGTAATTAGCTTTAACCGAGTAAAATTGATGCAACCGATTAAAACGGGCAAAAACAGGTAATAGTCGGTCATATTACCTAAGTATGAACATAAATAACAAGTTGGTTTCATTAATAAGAACAACAAAAAAAAAAAAAAAAAAAAAAAAAAAAAAAAAAAAAAAAACATTATCTATATGTGGACAATCGAAATAGTTAGTTACCTTCGTAAGTCATTTTCCCAAGGACAAAATAGCATTGAAATCTATCCTTCAAGTTTTGAGTGAATTAGAAGGGGAAGATAGAGGAATGTTCATAAGTTACATTTTTACCCATGTAACAAATCTCTTTTCTCTCAAATGAAGGGCAAAACTATAAGAATGTTGATTTCCTTCTCTTTTCTAGCAGCTTAAGAACACAAATTTTCTTCTATTTTTACTTCAACTCAAGAACACAATTATTTACTTCTATTTCCCTTCCAATTCCTTTCTTCCCTTCCCCTCCCTTACCTTTATTAAAAAACTTAATAACATGGCGATAAGGATAACGTTTATATTTATATATGTGTAAATTATATAAGCATGTCAAACTCGTTTGGCTTGAAAAGTTAAGGTCGAGAACATGGCGATCATGTTTATATTTCAATATGTATAACTATATAAGCTTGTCAAGAAAACGTGAAACGAGCTTTCAATCCATCTCAACTCAAGCTCTTATCGAGCTTCTCAAACTCTATATATCTATATATCTCAGATTACTCTGACTAACAGAAATTACCATTAAAATTAATCAAATTTATTAGCTATACCAAAGCTTGTTCAATTGCATCTCACAACACACGCCTCAAATGCAAACTTATAAAGATTCAAGAATAGCATTGCCTATGATATCATAATGGCATATGGAGGTTTTGGACATCAATCTGTAACCCTTTGATTCTTTCCTCCATTTTTATCAATTCTTGTTGAATCATCACAAGTTCATCTAATCTAGTTTGTGCTGAATCCTGATATGGTTTACCAACAAGCTTAACATAGCTTTCAAGACTCTCACTTGTCTCCAACAAATCTCTCTCCATTGCTTCTTCAATTTTACGTGCCAAGTTATCCGCAGTCCTCTTCACTTTTTCCACCACTTTTTGCCTTCGAAACGGAAAATTCGCAATCGCTATGTAACTATCACATGACCCAAGAAAAAAATAAAAAAAAATTATTATTATTTTGGTCAGGTGATTTTACATTGGGCAAAATGCAAGAAATAGCAATCTACTTTTATTTATTTTTCATTTCTTTCTAGTATTACATCAACAAGTAGCAAAGTAGGATGCTAATAAGCAAATGAATGAAAGTATGTTGCTATTATTGAAAAATATAATACCCGCCAGCAGAGCAAAGACCAAGAGCAAGAAGATCTTCCAAAGTGGTTGGTAGGACAGATGTCAAAAGTGAAGCTAATAAACTAGCTGTTCCTATTCCACCAAATGTCCCTAAGAACTTTATTAACCCAAAAAATAAAAAGATTAATTACCACCAAACCAAACCACTTGTACAGAGACATGAGTAAAATGATAGTGTTTTTTAAGTGTTTACAAATAAATTCCTAAATTGCTTTATTCATTATAACCGGATATTTATTTAAATAAGAGTTTTAAATTTATAAAAGGAAGCTGACCACTTCACGGATTTCTTGCTCAAATAGTTTGGAAGCAGCAGCAGCACTGAAGTCATCTAATTGTTGGACACTGAATTCATTTTTACTCTCAACCAATTTTCGAGTCTCAAACAAATATCGATTGCCCGACTTCATAAATGATGCCCATCTTTTCTCAAAACTTTCCTCATAAAATTTTACTTCACGCGCATTATTTGATCGGAGCCATTCACCATATTCCCCTAGTAATTTCTGCAAAAAAAAACATAAAATCAAGAAATCTGAATAAAATGCCAATTTCTAAAACCTTATTCTTTTCGTTCAAACTCATCTAAAACTGGATTCAAAAAACAAGAGCCAGCATTTTTAGATCATGATGTGTCAATAGATTAAATTTCAGTTTTGGTCCTTGAGTAAAGCTGATTTTTGCAATCTTGGTCCTTATTTTGATGTTTCTTAATGATTTCGGACCTTGTTCCATGCAAAACGACTATTTTCACCCTTTATGAAGAGAAAAAAAAAAAAGGAAGTGCATACCTGTGATTCCAATAGTGCTGGAGCAATGATGTCATTTCTAATGGTTGTAGCAGCAGGCATTGGGGCAGTATTACCTCCTCTAAAAACATACGACACCACAATATCAAGATTTGATAACCGCAGAGTTGACATAATAAGCTGCACAACGCGTGCTTGCGTTTTATCTATCTGCATTTATTTCAACACATCAAACAGATTCCAAAATATAAACTTCATTCATTTCAAAGAAAATAAAATAATAAATATACCAGCGATGAAGATTGTTTCTTCCAAGATATGCTTTCGGTTTCCATCTTGGATGCATAGTCTTTTACACTGCTTATTAACTCATTAATTGAAACCAAGTCTTTTTTCGCCTGTAAGCATTCTCTTTCCACAAGCTTTTGTGATGCTGAAAGAAGTTGTTCTGCAATTGCAATTGGTGTTTCCAGTTTGAGTTTAATTCTTTCGGTTCCTGTGCTTGTTGACACATCTAAGAAGCTGTATAAAAACTTTTCAAGCTCATAGAAACTAGTTGTTTCCCAATAAGAATCCTTATCTTCATGCCCTTCAGATATGGTTGACAGTTTTCGTTTAAGGGCAGATCGGGCAGATACAGGAAACAACGTTACATCGGTGCTTAACAGCTTTTTGTGTGTTCTCTTTGATGAATCCAATTGCTTCCTGAAGCTGCAGCAGATCACGTAAATGTTTCAGAATGATTTAAAATTGCGAGTTGAAGAAACAGAATGTGAATGGTTGATTAGGTTTGGAGTTTATCAATATACGCTTCTAAATGAGACAAAACGGACGTATGATACCTCAATGGGAGTTTGGTATATATCGGATTTGTTGAGTACAAACACGACCTTTTTTCTTCCATTGTTGTGTGTAACGCAGAAAAGAAACCTGAAAAAGGAACGGAATGATAAAAGCGTAAGAGTTCGATACAAAATATACAATTTGATTTACAAAAGAATAAATTAAAACATAACGAGAATATCTCAAGTAAGATAATAATAAATATATTTTCTAGTTAGTTTCAGAAAAAAAAAAATTACCTCGCTTTCAGTCAATGGACGATCAGCAGAAAGAAGAAAAAGAAGCAAATCTGCCCGGGGCACAAATTCTTCGGTCAGGCGCTGCTGTCTTTGAAGAATCACATTGGTCCCTGGCGTATCAACAATGATCATCTGTTTCACCAAAATTACATTAATATTTTCCAATAAATTGCAATTAAATATATATAATTAGTGTCTCACATGCTCAAGTATTGGTGCAGGTAAATAGCATATGTATTGCCCATCTGGATGCCTTTCACAGCGCTGCTGTTCGTTAGAATCAAGCTCTGAATATCGTAAAAAGGTTATCTCATTTGTTGTAGGGACAACTCCGTCTTTTAAGTACTTTCTCCCAAGAAGAGCATTTATGAAAGTTGATTTTCCAGAATTGAATTCACCCTATCAAATCATGACAAGATGAAAGAAATCTTAGTGAAAATCGTACCAAACTGTTAATACTACTTACTTAAGTCTACATACATCATAATACAACTCTGTGGTTAAACTTAAACAACAAAAAAAAATTTAGAAATTTACTACGTTGCAAATTCCCCGGTTTTAAATGAGTATTTGAAGGTGATTTTGTAACAAAAAAAAAAAAAAAAATCATTTGAAATTCAGAGCTAATACCAATTTATACCCGCGGAATCAGAAGTTGTTGAAGTTCAGCACACAATTACCACTATAACCAGTAAGAATGGCTCACTGAGGTGTGAAACAGCATCCCTGAGAAGTGAAACTTCCTCCATCTGACATTTATTAAAAACCAATGAAAAAGTATTATATATAACTCAAAAAATATCACCAAAACCAATTTGGCTACCAAATTATAAGATTAAAAAGATCACCAGAGGCGAAGCTCTCTGGATAAGATCAATGGCTTCAAGCAGCATCGATCTCTCGCTTTCTATCAACTCTACTTCTCTATCCTCCAAATTCACAAACCCTGTGAACCCCTTTTCACCCGAAACACCATTTTCTGACTCCAACACCAAACCATCGCGTAAAGCTTCTGTTCTTTTATCAGATGCCTGCATGCTATAGATCTTGTTCAAGGCATCGTTGCCTAGCAACTTTAGTCCTTCTAATGAAACAACTAATCCACTTGCTCCAGATTGTAACAAATATAACATTTCGTTGGATAGTTTATCCTTGTTATCGGGGTTGACACTGAAAAATGTTGGAATTTTTGTCTGATTGATAATGGAAACCGATGGTTCTTCAATGCTTTCTTCTCCATTGTTATCGTACATTAGAAAATCCGCACCTTCAAAGCTAGAGGCATTCATGGCAGCATCTAAACTTTGCACTTTTCTTCCAATCAGAGGAAGAAATACCGAATCTGATTTTGAATCCATAATTGTATTCCTTGCAACAATGGCAGGTAAACCTGTTTTTGAATTGCAACATACATAAATTAAATTATTTCAGTTGTCTAAAGCTACACATAGATAGGCATCATTTCAAAATTAGGGTAAAATCAGTGACTAAATGCATCAAAAACTTCTAACCTTGATCAGAAACCACAACACCACTGGCATTAACGGCAGTAGCAATATCAACCCTCTCTGCAATCAAAAAGTAAGCCCGATCCCTAATCACCGATTTCAACAAACAGGCAGCATCATACAAATTCCTCCCAC